TAAAGGAAAAAACCAAAAAATCCTCTTCATAGAGGAATTAATATCTCCAAACGATTGAGGAATTATGATGTCAGTTTGAGGACTAAGGTGCATCTAATTCAGATCATGGTCTTTCCATTGACTTGCTATGAATCTGAGAGCTGGACGGTGGATGACAGAAGAATTGAAGCCTTTGAGCTGTGATGTTGGAGAAGACTGCAGAACATCCCATGGACTACCAAAGAACAAATATGTCTTGAAGATGCAGCCAGAGTGCTCTTTGGAGGCTAAGATGATGAGGCGCACATAATTTGGACATGTTGTTTGGAGAGGCTGTTCCTTAGAAAGAGACAAGATACTCGAAGAGGTGGAAGGTTGGTAAAGAAGAGAGGAAGACCCTCGACCAGGTGGATTGACACAGTGACTGCCACAATGGGCTCTAATGTGTCAGAAAGTGTGAGGATGACACAGTATAGAACAGGATTCAGATCTGTTCATAGAGTCACTATGGGTCCTATTTGACAGCACCTAACAGCAACAACTGCAATATCAGTGGATTTTGAAAACATGCTATAAGAAAGAAGCCAGCTAAAAGGCTCACATACATAATGTCCAGAGTAGAAAACCCCATAAAGACATAGAATAACAGACATAGCTAACTTACCAGCAGGTTTTCAGAGACTATAAATTGCATGAGAAGAGATTGCTAATATTTCTTCCGAGGAACAGGCGGTAGACTTGAATTGTCTGCCTTTGTGTTGGCAGTCCCACTCCACATCCACTAGGTCCTTAAAGTAAATGAGTGCTTGACTGTGACTGGAGAGGGTGGGAGTACATGAGTGCTGATTATTAATGGGTATAAGATTCTGTTTTGGGGTGATGAAAATGTTCTAACTTTAATTATGCATTTCGGGAATTTTATTTAAAACAAACCCCAAATCATTGACTTGTATACTTTACATGAGTTAGTTATATGTTAATTCTATTTCAATAAATAAAAAAACCTACTGCTGTTGAGTCAGTTGTGACTGTCAGTTTTACAAAGCTATGTATTGTTAAAAGAGGAGACTGTATCTTTTCCTGAAGAGCAACTAGTGAATTTGAACCACTGACCTTCTAGTTAGCAGCCTGACACATTATACACCATGTCACTGGGGCTTCTTATATCTTAACAGATATTACACACACACACACACAGCTTAGATGTCTTAACTAATCTCAGTGAATCCCCAGGCCCAGTTTTGTTTAGTCTAGATTGTAGTTGTTTTTAGGTACCATCAAGTATGCTGTACCTTATAGCATCCATAAGAATGGCCGATCTGAATTCTGCCATCATCATTTCTGCCACACTTGAACTCATTGCTAAGGTCACTGTGTCTATCTCTCTTAGAGGGGCTTCACCTCCTTCACTTTTCTGAGCACAGTCTGGTATCAGCTCTAATTCAGGTTGCCGCTGGCCCAAGTCCAAAGCTACATAAACAGAGTTTGTTCTTGTTGTCTGCATCATCAGTTTAACCTTCTAAGTGGAAGTCTGAATTAAGCCTTTTTTAAAATTTGTTTAGAGTCTACCTTTAGAATTTAGGGAGGTCAGAAATAACATTTTTCCTGTGAAACAATACAGAGGATTGAAGAGCATCAGAAAGTTTCCGGGGCGTCCATGATGGACGTATTACATGATTGTCAGAGTTTCAGGCATAGCGTCTGCACCGTTTTGCTAGTATCATCAATCCCTCTTTTGTATTTCCCATCAGTACTGCCTCTTTGTGAGCAGGTACATGTCTCATTGTGAGGAGTTCTCCTTTACCAGAAAGCTTCAGTGGCTTCTTACTGTAACAATCCAACAAAACTTCCCTTGTCTGGGACATTAGTTTTGTGGGGTAGCAATCAAGAATAGCATTGAAATCAGAAAAATGGAATTGATTCCCACTTCTGTCCTGTGTACTCTTACCTCTTAACATGCTTAGCTTAACGTTACATGTATAACAGGTTCTCAGTAGAGATTTGGTTTGGAAATTAACTGTGGATTTCTAGTGCATGCTCAGCAAAACAATAGATACAATGGTAGTTAAAAATCATTGCTGTGCACAATATTTTTTTATATATTTTTTTATTTTGTTAGTTTTAATGTACATTTACAGAGATTTTGGGTTTTCGTTCATTCATTCATTGTTGCAGTTTTCTCTACCCTCCTCCCCAGTTCATTCTTCTTCCCCCCCCCCTTGAATGTCTGTTTTAATTATCCAATTGCCACAGTGCTTGTCAAAGCCAGTTCTGATTAATCTCCTTTGTCAGTGTGTCCTTTGCCATTCCCTATCACTCCTCCCTGACAGAGACTTCACCCTGGTTCATAAGGAAAAGGAGATGGCATATTCTCTTTGCTACTTCCTGTTGAAAAGGGATGCTGTAGGTTTCACGGTGAAGATCTTCTCTCACTACTCTAAAGGGCCCCTTTGGCAGTAGGAAACACATAGACTATTATGGAGATTGATTTTGGAATTTAGATGCACTGTTATCAGTTGTGCTTAGCTGTACATGTTCATATCCTTGAAGAGGTATCATGGAAGTGTTGCAGCCTAGAAGACACAAATTTAGCTAACAAGTTAAAAGTACATGAGTCAAAAATTAACAAGCAATAATATTCCGAGTAGAGGTTCTAATAGTGGCATAAATCAAGTTACAGAGGGAAGGTGGTTCTTACAATAAAAGGCCTATTGACTAGCACTTTGTCTATTATAGTGTAGAGGTTAGGAACCTCAAGATGTAGAGGCTCAGCTGTGTCATTTACTGTTCTTAAGTCCTGGAGCAAATTCCATCTACCACTGGGTTGTTTCACAACTCGGAAGCCTGCAAGCAAGGCAGAGGTGAAGTAAGGAACTGCTTATGAGGTTTTCCATCCATTCCAACAACTAAGAAATAGTGAGAAGAATTGGGACCTCAGAAGGTGTTTAGGACCAATTAGTAGGCTCTGTGTCCAGGAGAAAACGAATATACTTACAGGTAATGTTAATGCTCACCCACAGCTCTTCTGGGAGGATCTAAATCATTGAAGTGTCCTCCTTTGTTTCCAGCTGGGAGCTGGGAGCTGGGGCCTGTCAGTCCTGTCTGCCACGAGGACCTGATGTGGGCCACCCTTGGCCAAGTGTCCTTCTGATCCACACTTAAAGCAAGTGAGTGGGAGCTTCCTCTCTACTCCCTTGCCTATCTGTGGCTCTTGTCTGTGACATTGTCTACTGAAGTGGCCCAGCTTTCCACAGTGGAAGCAATTCTGACCTCCTTTATTACCTTTGGGTGGCACTGTATAATGAGTAAGACTTCCTTTTCCTGACACAGGCCCTAAACTGGCAGCATTAACTGCTCCAATAATTTTGGCCATTCTCTGGTCTTTTCTCTTCCCTCTAGATCCCAGTTGTTAATAGAGGGAAAGATTTAGACAAATGTATAAAAAATAATTTTGAACATTATAATCTTTTAAGCTTAATGCTAGAAGTATTAACAATATCATCATTTCCAATCCAGAGATCCATGTTCCAATGCAGTTCCTATTTTCCATAAATGGTTTTGGTAAGAGGAATATTGTAAATGTGGATACATTTCCACTATTCCTCCTCCATGCCACAATATAGTGTTATTAGCTTGAGCGGTTATAAATCCATTGTCATCCTTACTCTAACTTAATTTTTTTTTTTAAAAATTTTAAATTTGTTATTAATTTCAGTAAAAATTTACAGAGACTTTGGATTTCCATTCATTTGTTGTTCCACATTTGTCCCCTCCCAAGGCTTCCCCCCACCCCCAGAACACTACCCTTTTGGAGAAGTAAAAGAAAAATTATTTCATTGTTTTACAAACCCTCCCCCAGGACCACCCCACCATGTAGCCATTGCTCTAGACTCCTGTTACGGCTGTGCACAATATGCAGGATCCATTTAGGACTTTGTTTCCAAACCAAAAGAGGTGTGATTAAAGAAGATGCTTCTTGTAGCAGCATCCCAGCTTTGCTTGCTATTCTGATATATCCCTGGAAGAGAACTACTCTGTTGCTAAATAGTGATGAGCATTTTACATCCTTTTTTTATTCTTTGTAGTTGGCTCTGCTATCCCAAGAGGATTTTCCCCCCATTAAAATTAGAAACCCATTAGTCATATATATGTTTTTGAGCTTTTCCTGTGTATGTTAAATTCTGTAACAGTGACATATCTGGGAATAGTCTTAGTTGTCATTGTAGTTAGATGGGCATCAAGTTTGACTGTGACACGTGAGGATCCTGTGAATGACAGATGGAAATCTGGCCCTACCCTGTGCTATTCTCACATTGTCCATCAGGCTCAAGCCTACTGTTACAGTCACTGTGTCATTCCATTTCATTGAGGAGCTTCTTCTCTTTCTCAGGAGTCTATATTAATGGAACAAATAATGTTAATGCCAATTCTGTGCCAGAAAGTGTCTTAAATGTTATGGAAAAATGAAATAATATGTAGGCCTTACTTTTTAGTGACTTGCAGTTTAGTTAAGGAAAGAAATTATATGATTATATAATTATATATATACATATATATACACACACACACACACAAAATGGACCCAAGTACTCAGTCTTAACGAGTTTAAGGACATTTTCAAAGATAATCTACATTTTTGAACTTTCTTTTAATTATCTGACATTTAATATGACTATCCTTGAAAGACAAAATACTGCCCTTAAACATGAGATTTTTGCCATTTTAATATGTCCTTTTGCTGGATTTTCCTGTTCAGTTGAGTTTCTACTTATAATTTCTAAAATTGATTATGTGGGAGCTTTAGAACAAAATTACAATAATTATGTAAAACACTATAGAAATTATTGTATAAAACAAAATACGTGAATGAAACAATGTATGTGAATGATTGTCTAAAACATGTTTTGTTTTGTTTTTTTTTAAAAATAAAGTTTATAACTTTTCTTTTACAGGTGACTGCTTGGAAAACAGTTGAGGGGGTCCACCAGTGTCTGATGAGATTGTGAATCAGCAAACCAGCCATGTCGTACGCTCCAGGAATCGGTGGTGACCCTGCCCTGCTGGCCCAGCGCATCTCTTCTAACATCCAGAAGATCACACAGTGCTGTGAGTTGTCTTCTGTTCACTCCAATTCTTGTTTTTCATTCTAAAATGAGCTTAGTTGAAGTTCATCATATAGAAGACCAGTGCCAGCTACATCATTTATTATCTCATTCATGAAGTGAAGATTGAAAAAAATACTTACTTTGCTCTAAAATCATCTGGCTCTGGATGAAGAAATGAGACTTGTTCACTAAATCCATAGGTTTGGAAACACAGAACACTATGAGGACCTTGGAGCGTATTGTTGTTGTTTGTTATGTGCTGTCGCGTCGTTTGCGACTCATAGCAACCCTATGTACAACAGCCCTAAACCCTGCTTTATCCTGTGCCAATTGCATTGCCTCTGACACACCCATCCCGATTACCCCCGTCACTGAATCAGTCCACCTCATAGAGGGTTTCCCCTCCTGCGCTGTCCGTCCACCGTCCCAAGCATGATGTCCCTCTCCAAGGACCAGTCCCTCCTTACAACATGTCCAAAGTATGTCAGACGAAGCCCCAGAATCCTTGCCTCTAAGGAGCCACCTGGTTTACCCCTCTCTAGGATGAATCTGTTTGTTTTGTTGGCAGTCCACAGTACATTCAATACTCTTCTCCCACACCACAGCTCAAAGGCGTCAATTCTCCTTCTATCCTCCCTAGTCATTGGCCAACTCTCTGATGCATAACAAGTGACAGCAAAGACCTTAGTCTCCAGGGAGACACTGTTGCTCTTGAGTGATTTAGAGAGGTTCCTAACAGCAGACTTTCCCATCGCAATACATTTTTTGATTTCCTGGCTGCTGGTTCCAAGAGTGTTGACCGTGGAGCCGAGCAAACTGAAGCTGTGAACAATCTCAATCTCTTCGCCATCCATCCTGAATGCTACCAATTGGTCCAGTGGTGAGAATCTTTGTCTTCTTGACATTGAGCCTCAGTCCATACTGAAGGCTGCAATCCTTGAGCCTCTGCAGCAAGTGCATGAGGTTCTGCTCAGTTTCAGCAAGCAAGGTTGTGTCATCTGCATAACGCAGATTGTCCACCAATCCTGATGCCACAATTCTCCTCACAGAGCCCAGCCTCTCGGATAATCTGCTCTGCATACAGGCTGAAAAGGTATGGAGATAGGACACGTCCCTGGCGTACACCCTTCCCAATTTTGAACCATGCAGTGTTACCCTGCTCTGTTCTGACTACTGCCTCTTGATCCAAGTACAGGTTTCGCATTAGCACAATTAAATGTTCTGGGATTCCCATTCTTCTCAGAGTCAGCCACAGTTTGTTATGATCCACACAGTCAAATGCCTTTGCATAATCAATGAAACGCAGATAGACATTCCTCTGGTATTCTCTGCTTTCAGCTAAGATCCATCTAACATCAGCAACACTATCCCTAGTACCATGACCCCTTCTAAACCCAGCCTGGACTTCTGGCAGTTCTCTGCTGATGGCTTGTTCCAGTTGTTTTTGGATAATCTTCAGGAGGATCTTGCTTGCATGTAAAATCAATGATACTGTTCTGTAGTTTCCACACTCATTTGGGTCACCCTTCTTTGGAATGGGAACAAATATAGATCTCTTCCAGTCAGTTGGCCCAGTGGTTGTTCTCCAGATTTCTTGGCACAACTTGGTGAGCACATCCAGGGCAGCATCTGTTAGCTGAAATATGTCAATTGGTATACCATCTATTCCTGGGGCCTTATTTTTTGCTATTTCTTTCAAAGCAGCTTGTAAATGAAATCCAACTGGATCTGATTTAGGTTATTTATGCAAGGAGCAAAAGCATGGCACATTATTATGGAGCAGAGAACTTGAGGATATTTTAACTATGGTAGTAGATACTGCAAAAGAGAACTAACTATATCACAAAATTATTTATCACAAATTTTATGTTAGAAATTTCAGAAACAAAATGTCAGTATAATAAACCACAGTGACATTTCCAATTTTGTTAGAAATAATCACTCTTTATGATATATGTAAGAAGAAAAAATGCAAAAAAATCAGTGTAGCAGATTTGAAACTTGAGTTTGTATTTGTTTTGTCTTACTAGTTAATCACAGCTAGCCATGCATCATTCTAATTCATTTATTCCTAGTATTTTATGGTTTGGGCTTTACCCAAACTCTTTCAGAATTAGTTTCCTTTTTCTGTCTACTTCCTTATGTTACTTTCCTTATAACTAGGTGGTAATTTCAGAAGTATCGCTATGACTTTTAAAGATTATTATTATTTACATGTTGCTGGCGGTGTGGGGCATAAAGAGTTGGCATAGTGCCATTATAAAAAAATACCTCCCAGGGGGTCAGAGTGTTTGGCAAACAAATGAGGAATGAGCGTGTTCCTTGCATTAAAATACAGTAAACATTAACTTTGCTACAGCTGTTACTCTACTTGGATGATTTAAATGCAAAGGCTGTGACTTTGTGAGGGAAAAGTAGCCCAGTTAGATTACAAATGGTTCCAAAACGAAACTTCTATTCATAGCAGAATATAATAACCTTTATTCGGATTTGGGGTAATTCTTGTTTTCTTTGACTACTTTTAAAGGAGTAAGGTAGTAAACAGCGTAGAGGGGCATCTTCTTCACAATGACTGAGCTGAGAGTACTGAGATAGAGAGCACTTTGGCAATAAGTGAGACATGTGGATGAGAGATTGCCAATGTATGTGAATTAGAAAGGTGTAAAGCTTGGCTTACACAGGATCACAGTCCCTGAGAAAAGAAATCCATCGATGCAGTAATATAAGAAGTTGCTAAATTGGATCAGAGTTGAATATTCATGGGATAGCATGATAGCTGAAAGTGATCCGGGACTATCCTGGGTTGGGAATTAGACCCATCTTTGTCCCATATGAGGAGCTAGTTAGAAGATGAGAACTATTTAGTCACAGAAAGTTCAGTTACCTCTTGTAGATACTTACATCACTGTCTTGTCTGAAATAGAAGAATTATGTTCTGTGTGAGCATAAAACTGATTATTACAAAGTCGCTTTGAACTCATGATTATTCCATGTATATCAGAGCAGAACCAAACTCTATGGCATTTTTAGTGGCTAGATTTTTACATGGAAATCACCAGCCTTTTTTTTTTGAGGGTGTCACTGGGAGGACTCAAACCTTAAATCTTTCCATTAGCAACCAAACACATCAACCCCTTGCACCACCTGTTGACTTAAAATAGTTGATGTTGAATTAATTCTGACTCATGGTGACCAGACCTGTGTTGTAGTGGAACTGTGCTCCGTAGGACTTTGAGTAGTGGAGTTTTCAGAGGAACATTGCCAGATTCTATATTCCTCATTGTCTCTGAGTTGAGTTGAACACTAACCTTGTGGTTACACATCCATCTATGCTACTAACAGAAGCAAAGGCCACAGCCTTCAAGTCAAGTCCTACACATAGCAGCCCTCCACCGGGTCCCTGAGATTAAATCTTTATGGGAGGAAGTTGCCCATCTTCTCCCCACAGAGCAGCTGGTGAGATTGAACCATCATCTTTCAGTTCAGTCAGTCATCGTTGGGTTGATTTTTAAAGGCTGTAAATTGTTTGGGAGGAGATTGTCCATTTTTCTCCCAAGGAGGCTCTGATAGATTTGAACCACCAGTGAGACACCCCTTTAGGTCAGGAGTACAACTCCCTGCTGTGCCACCAGAGCTCCACTCCAGGGCTCCTTTGCTAACATAAAGGCTTCCACAAATAAGAACTGTAGAATATCACACTTCAACTTGAACAGCAAAGGTTTTCTAATAACCCCAGATTTCTTAAGGGTTAAAATTGCCTCGCTGAGGAAGGAAGAGGTCCTTGTTACTAAAAATGACTGCCATAGAATGGTGAGATAACACCATTGTGGTGTACAAGTCTACTAGTAAAGGTTTTATTTTTTTAAATGTATTTTTATTCTTATTTTAATGTAAGTTTACGGAAAGGTTGGGTTTTCATTCACTCTTGTACCTTTTCCTCCCTCCTCTCTTCTGCCTTTCCCCCTCCCCTAGTTCTCTTTGCAGTGCACCTCTTGTTCTGGATTGTTGTCATATAAACATGTTGTTGTTGTTGTTGTTATGTGTCGTCGAGTCACTTGCAACTCATAGTGACCCTATGTACAACAGCCCTAAACTCTGCTCTGTCCTGTGCCAATTGCAGTGCCTCCAACACACCCATCCCGATTACCCCAGTCACTGAATCAATCCACCTCATAGAGGGTCTTCCGCTCCTGTGCTGTCCCTCCACCCTCCCAAGCATGATGTCCCTCTCCAAGGACCAGTCCCTCCTCACAACATGTCCAAAGTATGTCAGACAAAGCCCCAGAATCCTTGCCTCCAAGGAGCAGCCCGGTTTAACCCCCTTAGGATGAATCTGTTTTCTTAGTAGTCCATGGTACACTCAGTACTCTTAACAACTCAGAATGTACCATACATAACATACATACATACATACAATGCCTAATCATCTATTCTCTTCATGCAGTCTTTACCCTTGTCTGTTCCAATGCCGTGTTCATTATCTGTCTACTCTTTTCCTATTCTTCCCTCAATACCCCATGTCTGTTTTGTAACTTTGACATTATGCAGTATTTGTCCTTTTGTGACTGAGATCTTTTACTTAACATAATATCTTAAATGTTGGCATAATAGTTCTGGGTAACTGACTTTTAATTTAGAGATTTTTCTTCTTAATTCTTTAAAACAAATTATTGTCTAAGTACTTGTAGTTTTCTAGCTGCTCTTCTAGATTTTGATACACAAGAACTTTAAGGGCCTGTTCTCACATAGTTTGCAGTGTTATAAGGAGAAACAGATAAGAAGCACATTTAACTGAGCAATCTGATCACCTGTGAAAAAAATAAATGGGGGTGATGTGAAAGTGACCTGCCACGGGGAGGTGATTTAGGTTCCATGATCTCCTGGAGAAGGATCAGAAAGAGCTAGTGGTGAGAAGATGAAGAGCAGAGCATTTCAGATTGTGGAATAGTTGACTAGTACTGAAAATGTAAAGTTGTTCTTGAGGTGTTCAGAAATTTGGAG